AACTTGTGTAAACAAAAGTTCAAGGGATCGCCATTATCTCGCTTATAAAGGTATCTCTCTTACCCTGTTTGATATTGTATGAGGCCGTTGTGCGTCGCGTCAGGGCACATGCACAGGTTGTCGTTGTGTTGAGTGCATGTGGCGATGGCGAGTGCACTGCGCATGCGTAGCGCATGTTCAGTTTACAGCGGCAGAGACAAGAGAGAGAGAAATAGCAATAATTGTTCAATTTTTGCATTTTAAATGATCCGTATTTCGTACATAAAAAATTGTAAATTTAATATAGTCAGTATGGCGTGTTTATGACATCCAAATTGTAGCAGATGTCAAATGTATCAAATATTTATAGATCAGTTTTGATTCATTGCCTCAATTAAACAAATAGTTTTGCTCTTGACCTCTGTGCGAGGATCGCGCGTGTACCGCTATGACGTCACCGAGGGGGGGGGGATGGAGACAGACCTGCGACGTGGCGCAGCATCGCCTGTTCGAACGACAGTTTGAACTTGATACGTCCGCCTGAGGGACACTAAGGATATTTTATTGTATTGTGTCGTAACATTACCCAGTATTTAGTGTGATAATACTGACTTAGTTTGGCGGCGCTCACCTCCGCCTCCCCCCACCCCCCACCCCCTCCCCCGTTACAACTGGTTGGCTGCTGGCTGCTGGCTGCTGACGGTTTGCGTTGGTTGCGTACATACACAATTTTACATACTTATACTAAAAGTTAAACTATGCTACATTAATTTGTATTATAAATATCTATGCATTTTAACAGTATGAATAGGATATATTTGTATTTTTTTTTATGTAACAAATAAACTCAAAAACTTTGGACCGATTACAAAAATGCGTTATGATTGAAAAAATACATTATAACGGCCATTATCACTAAGTACATGACCTATATTTATTGTACTAAATTATATATATATATTATACAGGGTGTCCCAAAAGGTTACGTACATAGGAAGGGGGATGATAGGGATGGTCACAAGGGTCACCAGAAAAATAAAATAGAAATTCCCCTCTGGGTATTAAAAAAATAAATGGCATTTTTTAAAAATTTAAAAATTTTACACCTTCTGGGCAATTTTAATTTTCTTTAAAATCTTTGTTAGTTGTATTGTTTTTTTTTATTTCATATCGATAAGGGGTTATTGACGATAACATAATTGCTTTTTTTTAAATATAGCAATATTTGTAGGTCATCGGTTACAAAATTGCCCCAGAAGGTGTAAAATTTTTAAGTTTTAAAAAAATGCCATTTATTTTTTTTTATACCCAGAGGGGAATTTTTATTTTATTTTTCTGGTGACCCTTGTGACCACCCCTATCATCCCCCTTCCTATGTACGTAACCTTTTGGGACACCCTGTATATATGCTCGCGAGTAAAACTGTGTTCAAAATAAAATAGTTAATGATATGTATCAAATGTTTGATAATGACCCAAGTTTAATGATACGTTTACAGGAAATTATTTTATCAGAGTGGTTTTTAATGGTAGCAGAATGTAGAATGAATGTTATGAGGTCATGTGAATATGACATGAGACATCGCGGCGGCTGCAGTGGACGGTGGCGCGCCAGCTAGCAAGCACCAACTCGCAGGACAAGGTCGTGTCGTAGTTAACTGGATTCATTGCAACTTCTATTGCGTCCTACTTCTCTCTTATTCAAACATTTGGGCTGCCTTACAAGACGATGTCGACGACTTTAATTTCATGAAAGGGTAGAAAATGAGTTAAATGTGGGTGGGAACTCTGCTACAACCCCGATGGGAACTCAATCAGCTGGTCAAGCGGCACTGTCGGCGAGACCTTCCTAGACGTTTAACCTCCGCACCCTGCTAGTCTACCAATTTCCTTGCGTTACACAGTTTTTAAAAATATGTTTGGCACTAGCATATTATTATATACATATTAAATACCAAAGTTAACTTGCAAGGAAAGTCAGCTGTTACAATATATGTGCGGACTATAGACAGAGATGAATTCTTGCTTTCAGATCAAAAACTTTTTTTACATAAAACATGGTTTAACATAATGTGTGAGGTTTTACGATAATTGATTATTTATATAATTTAAATAACTTAATAAATAAATAATTGGTACCAACATAAAAAAGTTAACATAAGATGCATCTGTCGACAATAACATAATATTATATATGAACTTTTCTAGAAGCGCATACAACTGCTGTACATATGTGTTAGCGTGCACTTTGCGGTGTGGGGAGCGCCCGGCGACGGACGAAGGCCCCGCACTTGCCGATAATTAAGAAACTTGTAGGAAATTCGGTCAAGATCGGCCGGCGATCTGATCGCGCTGCAAAAATCATTTTTACATCTTCAAATGGTTTAGATATTTACTGAAATAACGAAGTAAAAAACATTAACGTGCCGCGAGAGCCGTGAAGGCTGCTCGATACGATAACACTGTTATATTATTGTTTTTTTCGTTATCAATCTGTAACAATTTCATGGATATTTTGAAATGAAATACATCTATTTCATACAGTATTTTGTAGATGGATATTTCAGTGCTGTTATATATTAAGATATGTGTTTATGTATAAGAATAGAAGGCATATGGTATGACATAATTAATGTGACATCGAGCTGATAATTAGTATCGCCGCTGCGAGCTTACTCCTGCAGGGAGTGGGCTCGCTCGCGTGCCTAAAGCGCGTTACACTAGGGCAGGAGAGAAAGCGGTAGGCGCGGTAGGCGCGGTGGGCGCGGAGCTGTAGAGCGGGTGCGCCTCTGACGTACAACTGTTATGGCACTGCGTATCTGTCTATATTTAGGTTAATGTTTTTTGCAATATCACATGCACCTGTTACATCATTTCTCATCTAATTGTATAAAGTAATTTGCAAACTTCATAGAACAACATTTCGTACTTAGTTTTTTTTAAACCCGAGTCAAAATTACAAAGCTTAAAATTTTTTTATACGTTTGGAGATGTTCCGATTGAATTAAAATGTACTCAATAACATCCGAAGGCATTATTAAAGTGAGTTTTCATTTTCCCTATTATCGCCAATATATGAGTGCGTGTGTTGTGTCGGCGTGGACGTGCGTGTGGTGCAAGGCCGCGTATTTCTGTCGGCCATTGTGTGCCGCCGCAGCTGTATTGTGCAACTGCGCCGAGTGCACCCGCCGCCGCACAGCCACGCATAGAACATCTCATGTACTGCAAACTTCGAATTTAAATCCAAACATAAATGGATGTAGTGTTTTCAACAATTGTTTGTCTTTGATATTAAGCTACACACTGGTAAAACCAAGGAACTTTTACGAAAATCAATAAACAATCACTGATGGTCTCAAAACCGGTGTTATCACGTTACTCTTTTTGTTTGTTTTATTTTTAGTCGAGTAACAATGTCAGTGTGTGTGTGTGTGTGTGTGTGTGAGGCGGGCAGGGCGCGCCCGCGAGGTCAGGGTCACCGCTCATCTCACTCTGACACATCGATCCACTAGATGTCACTGGCTATCATTTGATTTACCGGTAAATTCATTACTTTTTTGTCAGAGAAATTTTGTACGTGTCTTTTAATATGTTTCACAAGAAATATTTTTGTTTAGTGTTATAAGATTTTTGCCAGTCTATTTTAATATTTTCAGTTTTATAGTTAAGTATGTGAGTGTTTGTAGGATCTATGATTTGACTTAGAACTGCAGGCGCACCTTCTGTCCTCGTTGCGATAAGCACTCAAGATGTATATAGGCTAGTTAGACTAGTCAACCGAAACTACAACAAAATTTGCTTAGCTATGGGAGATAAATTGTAATTGTAGGTTCAGAGCTGTTTAGTAACGATTCGTTTTGAAGTCAACCAAAAGCTTGTCAAACAGCAACGTAATCCAAGTTCAATATAAATAGAGCAGGAATCTGCAACAGTAAACAATACATCGTTTTATGAATGACTAACTAGTGCACGGCCGCGCGCCTCGGACTGACGCGGGACGCTAAGGAATTCGTGACCTGTACACGCATGCACACAAATATCAACCATAACACTGAACAGTAAGGTTCACTGTACTGTTCTGCACACTGTACACAACAGTAAGGTTAACCTACACACAATGCAAATGCAATCCCTGTCTGCAGCACGCACAGTGAGGACGTACTGCTTCGAATTAACGTTAATACCGTTTGTACACTTCATTGGTAGTAATATTCATAATAATATAAAATAAGTACAACAATTGAAAACACGAGGAACATATCAACCTGCTGGTGATGAGATATTTATGTTTACATCATGGTTACATAATGTTTAAATTAAAAGAGTACTCAGGGACTGAAAGTTATAGAAAATGGAACATAAATAAAATAATCCTAATACTTGGACTGGACCACTGGCGTAAGTACATTTACGCCAGTGATTTGATTAGCGTAATGGCAGGTATTATACAACTATAAACTAAGTGATAGAACACAATTTTATTACAAAGTCGATTAAAGATCATAATGGAAAGATTTGATTCAGTTTCCATTTTTATAAAACTAGTTTATCGACTCAAGTTTTTTTACTTCAAGAACACTTGTAGTGTAGCTTTTTTTCTGCGCTTGTTTTATTTTAAAGGTCAATCCAATAGTTCTTTTTCTTTGCAAAAATATCAAATATCGCTAGTCTGTGCTGTTCTCATAATCAACATTATAATTTTTAGTAACATATAGGTAAACTGTAACGACACTGTAAAGACACACTTTTGAATTAAATTAATAAGTAAGATAAGATGAAAGTCATGTTACTGTTTAAAAAAACCTGGTAGAATCAGCTGACATCAGCTCGTTGATGTTCAGGTACTACGTCAACTTCATCAAGTTATTGTCATCTTTAATGCATAAACATTAACAGTCAAAGTTCCGTGAAAATGGGCTGCAGTGAAGTCAGTTTACTCAGACATTGAATATATTTAGTTGATTTTGTAATGATTTCTTTCATAAGAATCTTGTTAAAGCGGCTATTGGAAAGCATTTAGAAATGCCTGTAGTAGTAAACCGGAAAGAGGGCAGACAGCGTTATTGGTTATTGTCAGCCCTCGCTCCGACTATTGCCGTTACAAACGAGCTCTGTGCGGTTATTGAGAGCTTCCTCCCTGACTCCCCGGACCCCAGCACCAAGGAGAAAGCGGCTGCACCGAGCGCGGCCACTAACTGTGCTAACAGCTCTATATCCATGCTCCAAGTGTGAAGTCAGAACATTTGTAACAAAACTGTATTTTTTCATTTTTAGATATATGCGAGTAAATGTCGCCATTAACTCGCATCTATCTATCTCCCACAATTATAATGGAATGTTGCCTCTCTGATTACAATATAACTTATTTGATTTGATATCTCAATAGATGTTATGCAATCAATGTATATAGATTATCTCGCATCGCTTATCACTGTCACGTCGGTCACGCACCTCTTGGCGAGAAGAGCTGAATGCTATCTATTGTAACTTGTAAATACTGCTCAAGTGTTAAAAGGATTAGTTTATAATAGATGTAATAAAGTCTAATTTCCAAGACCCGCGTGTCCGAGAGAGCTGATGATGAGAGAGCTAATGATGAGAGAGCTGATGATGAGAGAGCTGATGATGAGAGAGCTGATGATGAGAGAGTTGATGATGAGAGAGTTGATGATGAGAGAGCTGATGATGAGAGAGCTGATGATGAGAGAGCTGATGATGAGAGAGCTAATGATGAGAGAGCTGATGATGAGAGAGCTGATGATGAGAGAGCTGATGATGAGAGAGCAATCTGACATAATAGCTCATAATACACACCCAATTTTAGTCAGTTTTCATGTTAATTATAAATATCTTAGTTATATTTACTGATTTATTACATATTCTTGCTTGAATGGAAGCTTGGACTTTAACAGTAGCCATGTGTAAAAACATAGAAGTTTTTGAAATGTTCAATTGCAGAAGATTACAAAAATATACTGGAGAGATAAAGTACGCAATGAAGTTGTGTTGGGAAACAATTGGAAACATTAAAATGAATAAAAAAGAGAAAGTTGTAGCACCTTGGCCGTACAAAGTGGAGTTAAATATAGTAACTGTTACAATAAATGTTACAGTAAATATACAAGAAAAAAAATCGGAAAGAAGACGTACAAGAGCACATTTTCCTAATTTGTAGCTGCAGTACCAAAAGTCAAGATGGCTCCCAAAAAAGAAAAGTTGTGATGTTAATTTGTAACTTTTATTTTTTAAACGTACATAGTTTTTATTATTATTATCAAAAGTTGTTGCAAATATAATGCTATCATTTATAATGCTATACTTATATTATTCCACTCTCGGACACAAAAATGGGCCGCTGAATGATGGCACTTTACCTTGACAAGTTTTACGTGTCTATCGATCCCTTAGTATTCACATAGGCCAGACTGTTTCGGTTTATTAGGTGACCGAGATTACGGCGTCCCGGGAATGTAGGTCCCTATGGGCCGGGGCCGGGAGCGGGGAACCTAGTGCTTAGATTGACGCCGGCTGGCCCCGCCGCCAACCGGGACAAAAGTTCACTCGCCGACCTTGCCCGACTCTACGCGACTCCGCCGAAACAAGTTGCCGAGTTGTGTGTGTGTGTTTATAGGAATTATGATGAGAAATGCGCTACATACGGGCTGTTACTTTTTAATGTAATAAGTTTGAGTTTTCTCAATTGGATAGATTAATATTTAAAACATAAGATTATCAACTATTGACCGAAGTGATTTATAACAAAAGGAGTAACATTTTAAAAACTTGCGAATTAGAATCTAATAAAAAGGGATAAGGGAAATGCTGCGAGCTTTAAACAGCGCCATGTGCAGTCGAGATGATTTAACAAAAATATTATATAAAATGTTTTAACATGAAACTTTACGACTGACTAATTTACCGTGAATGTCATCTTGTTCACCTCGAAATGTTTGTACTCACATGTGTGTACACGCAATTTACAATATCCGCTTAAGCTGTTATATTTTTACTGTCATTTTTCAATCATTCATTTTCATTAAAATATTTACAAGCCGATAACCGTTGTATTCCATTTATGTGCTTCATCCTTTTTCCAGTTCTTCACCAGTTGGTGTTGCATTTAAATCATAAAACTCAACATTAGTCTATTACCTACGTATATAATACATTATTACTTTTACACAGGTGTAGTTGCGGGACGTCTGCTGTTGTCGCCTCCGCATTCACAGCGGCCGACATGAGTGCTCGAGCTCGCAGCCACATTCCGACAAACACACGAACAATATAAGTACGAGTATTTACATACTCTAGAGTATGAGAAATTTTGGATATTTTTCGTATTAAGGCTTCATCAGCTCGTAAAATGGTCTAGTGATGGCGAGGGTCAGGGTGTGACAAGTGGGCCAGGGGGTGTGTTGGCGAGGGAGGGCGCGGGCGCGGGCGGGGGGCTCAACTGGGCCAATCGATCACCTCAGCCTCGTGCCGACACCACAGTGACCTTCATTCACTTTCGTCGTATTTTTTGTAATTACTGAATGTCGGGAATTTAATTAATTATTTTAATCTATGTTATTCAATGATTTTTTTGTTTAGTACATAAATATTTAAAAAGTAATATAATATGTAACATAAGGTGTATATTGCATTGCGTGTGCGATGGCGTCCTCATCTGCAAACTACGCTCGTACCCTTGCGACGTGGAACAGCGATGGCGATGCGCTCACAAAACAGCTGCTGATGATTGCACTTGTTGTCACTTCCATCCCTTCATACAATCATATAATAAATATCATATACACGTAGATACTAATCGGTCGTTGGAACTGCATGTATTATTGCATAGATATGTTTGTGTAGAATGTATTTAATGAAAATTTAAATTCTCTGAAATGATTAATAGTGAGTAAATGTGTGCTAGTGCTGATGTTACCTAACTGCAAGTAAACAAACGGAATCTGTTGCCTCCGCCTCAAGTGCTATTTATTTTCAGACTTCGCAAAATTTATTCTCAAAATAATAAACGGTTCATTCTTCAACGCAGGAGTAAATGTAACATTCTCGCTATTTCCTTGTCTTAAACAAAGCGTAATTATAACTTAAAGTTTAGTTTAGGGCGATTCGTTATAATCTTACTTTTGCATTGATAAAAAATTATGCTTACTTTCTGCACATGAGAAAATATTTACATCATATATGTTATTATTTTTAAGTAAGAATAATTAATTCTGTAAATTGGCGCATTAGTTCCTTGTCATCAGCTCATATACGTGACCAGCGAGAAGCCTCAGAGCCTATTCTATTTTAAGCCTAAGATTCTAGGACTTTGTCAACAGTGGTAGCCCAGTGCGGGTTGGGTTGCTATCAGTACTCGTCAGATGACTACAATCGACAGACCTGTGCAACTTCCTGTGTGACACGCCCTATCCACGGTCAAACAATACAGAATGTAAAAATAATCGCGACGGCCGAGTGGCAGATACCAGGCTCCACACAACGAGAATGTAACCTCGCTCGAACGTCTCCACAGAATGTCTTCAATCTTTTGTATTTTTTTTAACTTACTTACATTATTAGAATAATTTAATTTGACACAACTAAAGGAGTTATAAACTTAAAGTATAACATTGTTTAAATTAGTACCATGACCATGTAACCTACATTGATTGATTGGTTCATCTGATGATCGATCAGTAAACAGTTGTAGTTGTTTCTTGTAACGTGAGTCACCGCGGGTAAAACTGCAGACGACGTATTGCATGAATACCTACAACATGCAACACTTCTTCATACTGAATTGCTATGGAAACAACATCTGTGACGCGGTTATCAGCACAGCAACAAGCTCTAGTTTGTAGTCCGATTAAATATTCTACATCAACACTCAACGATTTCTCCTTTACTTCGAAGAACTTAAGTCATCTTATAACTATACCTAAAAATTAACTTAAAAACGCAAAAAGGTTATATAGTCAACATTTGTATACTTCTTTTTTATTTTTTTAGATAAACAGTTGTCAATACCAGTTACATCGGTATCGCTTTTTAGTCTTGTTGCAACAACAACTGTAGGTGCGCGGATAGAGGGAGGGAGAACGGGTTTCTTAGTGGTCGGCACAGTGTGAGATGTCGACTTGATGTCGCCTTGCACTGCTATATAACATATCAACACTGATGTTACGACAATTAACTTATATCGCTTTATAATTAATATAAATAAATATAATACATTTATAAATACTTAATTGCTTGTGACAAGTGGGTAAAAACCATTATATTGATTACGAGTTCAAAACAAATAGCAGTAAGCCGCGCTGCGCCGCGCCGCGCCGTGAGGAGCGCAATCATAGGCGGCTCAAGTTTATTAACTTGCTCGGATTGTTGGCAAACAGCGCGGTTCCCATTGATAATGTACTCAGCCGTGTCATAAAAACTGCGGTAACGAACATTTCTAATTTTCACGATGCATTATTTCGTAGAACAGGATTTTCATAAACTACTCAAAAATAATTACCTAAAAAGGTTAAGATTTTACTTAAATTAGGCAAAGTAAGTAGCAAGAAGGTACGAACCTTTTCCGTTTAGCTGTGTCCGAAGGCGCGCAATCTCCCGGCCCTCCCGGACGTCCCTTGTAGCGCCGCGGCCGCAGGCGCGAGCCCCTCGGCGTGGTGACCTGGCCATCCTCCTCACTCACAACACATGGTACATCACTCGCCTAGCCTCGCCTCACGCTCTGACATACAACGGTCTCGTTTGTTTACAAACAAAACTTTGCGCGCGAAACGTCAAGGCCGAGACACGGGTACATTCACGTTTCACAAAATGTTTCACCGGTATAGGTATTGCGGATAGAATCTACAAATCAGTATATTAACACAATATTTGGAGTGTATAACATGAACAACAGGCGGTTTTGTTGGCGTGGTATTAAGGCACGGGTGTACTGGAGAAGGCACGGCGCGGTACTGGCGGTGGCGGCCGGCGCGGGCCGAGCACGGCGTGACGTGACGCCGTGTTTCTCACGTCACGTTAGCCCGCGGCACGGTAGCCAGGCACAGCACGCAGCACGTCAGCGCCGCGCCCGCTCGCTGCGCCGCACTGATAACGTGATAACGCACCTGCGGGCCGCCGCGCACCGCACCTCTACCGCCCGCCCGCCTCATCCGGCAGCGCGACCTTTCTCCCTGCACATCAACATGTGTGTTGTGTCGAAGCAAAACGAGTTCAAAACGAACACATACCTACGAGATTGTTAGTTGCCTTAGTTTTATCAATAACATATCAGTTTTTCACTACTGCGCTCGCCGCATCGAATTTACTCCTTGTTAATATGTATTTAATCACCTTGTTTCAATGAAAAGGTGCTCGAGGACAAGAACAAAGTGCACTCTTGCATTACCTAAACTAAATGTAAACACAGGTCACCGGCGACTCCGCTTGTTTTGTAGAAGTCCGCGTGTCATCTTGTAGTTGCACCTCATTGTTTGCGTCGACCTTTCCACGCGGATGAATGGTAAGAATAGTTAGGTTGTTATTTTTTAGAGTATTTTTGTATATTCTTTTAATAGTTATTTTTTCAGTCGATTCTCTAGATCGTAAAGGTAAAGGGCAGAATAACCACTATTTATATTTCATTTTCTTTACATAACCTTTAAACTCCTTTTAATAGAAATATTAGCTTTACATTACAACTTCCTAAAATAGTATGCAAACAAAATCGCAGCCCAAGATTCAGGTGTAAAGGTGTCGTCACCGCTCCAGCTCAGCTCGGCGCGGCGCGTCCAGCGATAGCGTCACCAATTAGCGCCAGAACTCGCTAATGTGCCTAATTAAATTTGCGCTTGTAATTATTGTAAGAGCGAAACTCACATTCCTCATTCAGCACATAGCACAATGACGTCACGCCATGAATTCATCGCACGGACTTCGGAAAGTTACTGTCATTGAATTTAACTGACTTGAAATCATCGTGAATCGTAAACATTATACAACATATACAACAACCGATGCTGAACTATAATATTAGTAGTTCATTCTCTTGATGTACTCGTAGATGTAGACTCTATGTAAGGTTCTTTATAGAGAGCAGAGGATATAAAACGTGAGCGACGTATACAAGAAGTTAATTTGTAGTACATAATGAGAATCATTATAACATCTTCTGAGAATATCAGCTAATTGTTTTGCACAACTTGCTCGATTGTAAAACTAATGCGATTGTGAAACACAACATTGCGGCCAATTGACGGGAAGTGCGGTGCGGCTAATTACATTTTGTAATTAAGGTAACCACATAGTAGAGACACCATTTGTATTACATACTTAGTTCTTTATTCTACTCGTATTTATCTGAATGTTACACATTCCATATGTTATTGGCATTAAATGAGATGATCAGCACAAAGGAATGGATTCACAACTCATTGACTTATGTAGAAGAGGAAAAAACTTTTTGTAAAATTTACATTATAAAAATATAGCTGTTGGGGCAGAAGAGGCAGGCGCTCCACACTCTCAGCGGGATGGATAAAATAAAACGCACCATACAAAGAACAAGAACAAATAATATATTTTCTTTGACATTCACATGTTTTGCTTACAGTTAAAGGTTTGGCGGGTGCGGGGGGTGCGTGGGGTGGCGCGTGGGGTTGTGCGGGGCGGGGATGCGCCCGGCACGCGATGCGCGTTGGTCCCATCTTAACATTTCCCTTACATATAACAAGCCTGGTAGGACCGAAGGGTTGACGATGGTTGTCTACGTGTTACATGTTGCTTTATCAAATTTAGATAACGGCCGTCTTAATTCCAAATAACGTACAAGTTAGATTTTGGAGGATTGATTTTGATTTTTTTCTGGTAGTTATCCTAATTTATCTTTATACCTAAGACGTTTTAAAATATCTGGCTCACAGACTACACTATTTTTGTACCTCATAATATAAATATAATTTAAAAATACATGTTTTTGGGAATATTTTTATTGTAAAAAGGGTCATTAATAATATTAATTAAATGATTTTGATGAATATTTTGCGATATGCATAGATGTACGCGGAGGTGACGCCCCCGCGCCCCCCGGCCCCCTGCCGCCGCCCCGCACTCCGCCACTCAGCTTAGACGAGTAACAGTTAACAATAATAAACTGTTAAAGTATAATTAGATAAACATTAGTTAGATATCGTTAAAAACCCGCGAACGAGTCACATTTGTAAAGAGTCTGAAAGGTTACCGTCATACGTATATCACAATATCAGTGTATAAATTTTATCCTTTAGTTTTAACATCGCGGTCGACAATAAGTGCAAATAAAGCGATTTTTCTTCAGAAAGGAACTGTAATGAAAAGGGACCTAGGTCGGCTCGGAGAGGCTGTGCCCTGACTCCGTCACCTGAACCGATACAATTTGGTGCTTCAATTCGATACAATATCGTTACTAAAAGTGCATTAAAATGTTGTATTTCACTAATACAATGAAATGTCAATTAATTTTACACAAATACTATAACATTACTTGTACTCTTTAACAATTACTTAATAATAAAGGAAATCCAAAACGCATAGAGTCGACGCTCGTGTGCGCCGCCGACCCTACACGACATAATAAAAAAATAAAACAAAAAAAAAAATCGCAAAAAACAATTGTGATGAAACGTCGAGAACTATTGTAATACATAATCTCTAGATTCGAGGTTTATTTATGGTTAAACAGAAGCAATGGCGCGCTAATACTGATTACATAAGTTGCTTTAAACACAAATCAACAAAAAAATCCAGTTTCGAGTACATTATTTACGAAGAAATTCTAGTATTAAAATATAAGATTGCCTTTACAGTTATAATTAAGTTAATAAATGCGCCAACGCTACATAATATACACAAGAATAAATAACAAATAACAATTGAGAGATCTACGAATTAAGTAATTCCAACAAATTAAATTTTGAAATTTTATTTATAAAACTTATATCAACATTTAACAATAAGTAGCCATCGAAAAATCTTTGTTAAAATGCAAAGCGAAATGTTAGCGAAATTAATTGCAAATTCATTCATAAAACCTTAATTAATATTTTTATCTAAAGTTCCCGAAGGTTTAAATGTTGACGTCATAGATATGTCATCACTTCATTTGTACTGGAATACGATTTTGTTTACAATCATCGAGGTATCTTCGTACCTACTGATATAGCATGTCATATCAAATGAATCTGCGCGATACCTTCCTCGATGAGCTTGCTTGAACTATCGGGAGTGGGAAATGTTGTATAGAAATCAATTTCTAAAAATTAGCTAAAAATGATGGAAAAGCTCACTGTAA